TTCACTCTCCTTCAGTGGCTCATAGGGCACCCTGTACTTAAAAAAAAAAAACAAAAAAACACAAGGCAGCAACTGACGAAACATGGGTTGCCCATCTGCGCCACTTGGTGAATGCAGGAACTGGGAGACCGGTTCAGGAGCCGTGGAACTGGGAGGGAGTCGATCTCAGGCTGGCCGACCTCACAGAGTCGTTGTGAGGAGGGGAGGCGGAAAGGGGTGGTGGTGGTGGAGAGCACTGTACCCTGCTTTGAGCTTGCAGGAAGAAAAGTGGGATATAGCTATAATTTATTGATTGGGATAAATCAGAAGTAAACTGTTGAACTGATAATGCACCCCATAGTTACTTGGAAATAGGTCACCTTGAGATGAATGGAATTAGTTGAATACAGCTATGGTTATATTTATTTCTGCATAAGATTCTGAATAATTGGGTTGTACTTGTCTGTTATACTTAACTATTGGTCATCCAATGAACTTACTTCCCAATAACAGCGTCTAGATGCAGACTGTTCCAATTGTCAGTGGTGCTTTCTTCTGAGCAAAATGTTCTGCATATGATACAACTCTAAAAGTCAAAACAAAACCTAACAATTTACGGTATTCACACAAATTCTCTCCCCACGTCTGCACCAGTCTTTTGGAATAAACTCCAGTAATCTGGGGATTAGAAATTGGAGAACTAGGTAGACTTCTCTCCAGTTTTTAAGCACTATGTTAATATGAATTAAATTAGGTTTATGCAAAATGTATGTGAGTATGGCTTCACTAGCAGCAGGGAGTGAACTAGTGTGAGCCACTTGAGAATGATTGGGCTTGATTAGAATGACCTAATCAAGCCTGACCATTCACACAGAAATGGCTCCTGCCAATATTGTAAAGTGGCTTACTAAGCAAGCCACTTCAGAATATTCGAAAATTAATTACTTCTCTTGGTCTTCAAAAGGTCAGAGGATGTGAAAAAAACATTTTTGATTGAATATAGAGTATTTCTGCATCAGATATAAAATTTTAATACAATATATTTTCTTAAAGGACTGGTCAAGAAACAGCCTGCAGCCAAAGCAGCTGCTGTGGATTTAGCTATGAGCAGTTTTTCAACCAGCTTCTAAGCTAAGCCAAGGCAAGGCAAAGACTTTTTAAAAAAAATTATAACCGAGGAAGTGATTATAATAGCCGACATACAATCAAAACATTTTTCCCCACATACCCTACCCTCCGCCAAGCAGGAAAAGTGATTAATTTGCCAATATCCTGAAGTGGCTTGCTTATTAAGCCACTTCACAAAGATGCAAGAGAAAAGGCTTGCTTTGGAACAGTTCCAGTACTTGCATGTGCTGGAACTGAGAGGAAGCTCCAAACCAGAGCAATCCTATCTGCATCAGAAAAGTAGACACACCTTGATAGAAGCCAGAAAGGTGTGGGTAGGAATTGCTGTTGTTCAGTGGCTGTTTTTAAGGGTGCACCATTCCATCCCTTTAGGGCTCCAAACAGCAGGCTAAACAGTTGTGTACTGTAGTCAGCCCCTTTGTTGAGACAGAACTGGAAAGCGGTCTTTCTATGAGGAGTGCAGAGCTGTTACCTTGTCTATGTGTTGGTAACAACTGTTCTGTTATAAATGACGTTTTTAAATTGTTGGTTCTTCGTGTACAGTTAGACATAGAATCCCCATGGGTGATGAAGCAGGAAAAATGAGTGCTGTTCTGTTATAAATGACGTTTTTAAATTGTTGGTTCTTCGTGTACAGTTAGACATAGAATCCCCATGGGTGATGAAGCAGGAAAAATTAGTGGGTAGTGGCAGAGGAGGAAGGTAATGGAGATAGCAGCTTGTGAATAATAAATAAATAAATAAATAAAATAGTGGCAGAGGAGGAAGGTAATGGATTTTAGGAGACAGCAGTTTGTGAACTTCCAGATGTTGTTGGGTTACAGTCACCCTCTTCCATCATTTCTACAGCTTTAGGCTGATGGGAGTTGCAGGCTTAAAACATCCAAAGATCTGTAAATTGTCCTCTTCCCATTACTTTAAAGGGATGATCTTAGTTTCATCTTCTTCAGTCAGCCCCGTGGGTAACTGCTCGGTATATATACTGTAAGTGTTCTAGTTTGGGAGAAGTGAGCACTTCTGCATTAGCAAAAGCGACCGCAGCTTCAAACAGAAAAAGGCACTGCATGGGCCTTTGTGTTGCATTCAGTTCTCTGAGCAGCTTTCCTTTCGTTCCATCTGGATTCGGAATTCCTCCGAAGGAATGAACCGATGCTATGAGCATAAAACAGCGTATAGCACAAGCATCTCATTTTTCTTAATTCTGAATTTCAGACATGCTGTTTGCTGGCTGAACTGTTGAACAATGTAACTCATTAAACGTTTTGTGGTGCACATTGAATTATAACCGAGGCCCATGTCATGGGGAGGTCATGATGGCGAAGTGACATGTATCATTTTTGTGATGGGTTCTTGGCCTGGCTTGTACAATCATGACTGTACAGTACATTTAGGGCAGTGGTCAGAGAACAGGGGTAAATTACCCCAAATGGGGTAAAAATGAAAATCCTGGGGGTAATGAGGATGAGCAGAGCCCCAATATTGATGCTCTCATATCCAATATGAAGCAACATCATTTCTCCAAAACCTGAAGTTTTCAAGTAAGTTGAAGCTTTCAAAGTAACTTTGAATAGATTCAATAAGATTTTGAATTCAAATAATCTATGATTTCCTTCCTTTCAAATCAAGGGGGTAATGTCGGTGTACATAAATTTTTGGGGGGGGGGTAAAAGGTTAAAAAGTTCCCTTACCCCTGATTTAGGGAAAGAGTGGATGTTCTTCACAGTAATTTTTATTGTGCATTTTGCAAAATGTGAGGCGGCGAGGATCACAGGATTAAATGGGAAAGGCCTTCATTCTTAACCCTCCCGTGTTTTCCCACCGGTTGTCTCTTTTCTTGTGACAAAATACCCAAGAAGGAGAGAAATATGGAATTGCTGTGCAGCATCTTTTGATGAGTAGCGGTAGGAATGGTCTGTATGGAAGCCCTCTTGAACTCAAAATGTGTTTCCTCTGGACAAATTCTCAAGTAGCAGAACTGGACTGTGTGGAGAATAAGCTCAGAACAATGATGCTCATATTAAAGAGTTTGTCGCTCAAATGCTTGTGATGGGAAAGAACTATAAGTGAGCTGAAACAGTACAGGAAAATCTAGGGTACACAAAGCACTTCTTGGTAAGATGTGGTTGGAGCTGGGAGTGCTTTGCGCTACTGTTAAACACCATGCTGGGATGTTTATTGTACTGATCTCAAGTAGAATAATTGAATCAGCTGTTGCTTTCAATGCCCTGCTACCCTAATCCAAATCAAAGCAGACCTGACAGATGGTTGTTCAATTTTCTCTTGAATGTCTCCGGCACTGGAGTGCTCAAAACTATTTAACTTGAAATCACCACTGAATAGCCTTCTTAAATTCGGTGCCATATTGTAGCTCCTATCATCTCCAACCTGTGGGGTATACGGGATGGGAATTTTGGGAGTTGTCTCCAGGTGTAATCTAACACATCTGGATGGACACAAGGTTGGAAAGGCTTCCACAAAGCCTGTGTGTAAATGGAGCTAAACTTAGTTATGCTTTTCTTGAGTTTTCTGCTTGCATGAGTGTGCTACCATTTAAATTAATGTGACTGCTGTGGAAATGAGCATCTTTGTGGGGTATACGGGATGGGAATTTTGGGAGTTGTCTCCAGGTGTAATCTAACACATCTGGATGGACACAAGGTTGGAAAGGCTTCCACAAAGCCTGTGTGTAAATGGAGCTAAACTTAGTTATGCTTTTCTTGAGTTTTCTGCTTGCATGAGTGTGCTACCATTTAAATTAATGTGACTGCTGTGGAAATGAGCATCTTAATGTTTAATATATTCGCGAAGGCTTTCACGGCCGGGATCTAATGGTCGTTGTGGGTTTTTCGGGCTCTTTGGCCGTGTTCTGAAGGTTGTTCTTCTTGACGTTTCGCCAGTCTCTGTGGCCAGCATCTTCAGAGGACTGGAGTATCCAACAAACACCAATAGAGCATGGACAGAGTTCCTACTCCAGTCCTCTGAAGATACCGGCCACAGAGACTGGCGAAATGTCAGGAAGAACAACCTTCAGAACACGGCCAAAGAGCCCGAAAAACCAGAACAACCATCTTAATGTTTGCCTTTTAAATTACAGTACTGCAGTAATAATAATAGCTAAGGAAATAACAGCGCTGTAACTGTTATTGGACAACTGTATCAATGTTGAATGTTGATTGTACTATATAATATGGAACATCAGTTTTCGACTGCGGTGTTTCATGACAACATTCTGGCCTTTAATAAATCCTGAGTTAAATACTAGGAATGCTTATTATTACTTATGAGATTCCACTGAAAGGAATGCATCCCACTGATTATATCCATTATTATGTTGTAATTGTAGGCCCATTGATATTAAGATGACTATTTTAGAATAAATGGATTTCAGAAAAAAAAAATCTAGTAGATATCTGTCTGTCGTAGACTAACAAAAGAAAAAGAAAGAAAAAGAGAAAAGAATGTTTTGGTATCTTAAAACTAGCAAGTTTATTTTGATGCAAGTTTTTATGAATTGTAACCCACTATCAAGCACAACCAAAAATAAATACTTCTAAATTCTGCTCATTGAATTAGGAGAATTAAGGGGAGAAATCTTAAAAGTGCTCAGCTGTCTGGATTGTAACTTTCAGTGAGTGGTTATTATGCTAATGGTTTCACTCTAACACTTTAAAAATATAGTATAATATGAGATATATCTATTCAGAAGTAATTTCCATTAAATTCAATGGCGCTTATGCCTAGATGTGTATGAAAAGTGCCATGGTTGTTGTTATTGTTATTTACTTCTAATATATTTCTGTAGTACACAGGGAAATAGTTACCTTACTGAAAGTTGTTTCAGAAAACTCCTTTAATGGCCAAACTTCACTGAGGGATTCCATTTCTTGTTCCAGGATATGCCATGGCGAGTTGCAGAGGTGCTTTTAGGAATCTCAATGTTTGGCTTGGACTCTTGGAGAAGTCTCCGTACAAACTCTGTGCACCCTGGAAGCGGGTTCTTTGTTCTGCAAGCCAAGAGCCAATGACTGCAGTTGTCCCCAAACACTTCTCCATCTCCCCCATTAAACACTATGTATTTTTAATACCTTTGCCCCAAAATATTCTGAGGATTTTTGTTCGACTTAAAAGTGACAAAAGGTCTCAGAAGAGGATGAAACAAACTGTGCAAGAAGAAAGTGAGGACGAGGAGGAGGAGGAAGAAAAGGAAGAAGGAAATAGTTCAGAAGATGAGTTTGAAGATGACTCTGCTGTAGTGAAAGATTACAAAGATCTTGAAAAAGTAGTGCCCTCTTTTCGGTTTGATCTGATCATGAAAACTGGTCTAGATATTGCAAGGCAGTAAGTATAAAAGTCTAAAGTAGCATGCAAATGAAGAGATGAAACATGAAGTGTCTTTTTCTGCACTTATTGCTAGAACATAGCATTAGGAATACAGTAGATTGTCCTGTGCCTTATGGAGGAAGAATTCAGTCTGAAGGAGAGATGCCATTTAGAATCTATTCCAGTAATATTTTCAGTTGCTAGGTTTTGGGCATTTAAAGTCCCTAACAAAATAGATAAGTCAGCTAAGTACTCAGGTTTTAGGAAAATTACAAGATTATTTGCATTAGGAAAGAAACTGCTGTTTTGCATTAGCAAGGAAGAAACTGCAGTTTCCTTGGAGTATAATGAGCTTGCCTCCAGCTTAAGTACTTGCCGGCAGTGTAACGTGCACTCAGACCTCCTGTCCAAACCGGCATTCTCTCTCATTACAGTATTTAGTGGGGAGCCCCTTTCATTGAAGTGAGGAAATCCTATGCCAGTTCCTATGTAGAGAGCAGAGTTTTGAAACTCTTGAAATAGCTTTAGCTTGCCAGGGGCAACATTCCGTCTAATTTTCTGCTAGTGCTCGGTTCTGGCCATGATCAGAACCAAATGGGCAGCAGCACTAGCTGCAGGTGCATGGTAACGATGTAGAGTTGCATGGCTGCAGAGCTGCATGGCTGCACACCTTCATAGCTTAGAGGGAACATTGCCGGGGAGGTTTGTACCAATCATGGCATCTTCTTAGACCAGGAGTGGAAATCTTGCTTTCTAGAAGCCGTATGCATCCTCTCATGGCAGTTTTTGTGGCTACAGATCCTTGCAGTAAAAAAAGAAGAAATTCTGGCCTCAACTAAAAGAACTGATGGATACGCATTGTTTTTTTTTTAATGTGGAAAACCCAATTTTTAGACAGTGTGGCTCACAGCAGATCATTGGTGGGCAGAACTGGCCCTGAAGCTTGCCCATCTTTGCCTTGTATCTGATTGAGGACAAGTGATTGAACAGTTTTTAAAAATTGCCTTACCATGGTTATGAAATTGATCATATGACTACTGGTAGTTTGATCTTAAACATAGTTACTTGGAATTATGCTTTGCTGGTTTAAATGGAGCATTGCAAAGTATAGATCTTGCAAGTAACTCTTGGAAGTCATATGGATTCTCTTCCCTGGTAAGAGTGGGAAAGGGCTGTAGCCTTATTTAGCCTTAAGAAATGTAGCATTGGTTTCTTTATTACCAAGTGTTGATCTTGACTCTGCTCAGATATTATGACATTGAGTCTGTTGTGTTAGAACAGAGCTGTGCAAGAGTATGATCCTAGGACTCAGCAGCTCAGCTTTTATATATGTGAATAAAGTTAAGGATTGTTTTTGTTTCCAAGCAAAGTGGAAGATGCCTTCTACAATGGTACACTCAGGCTGAACGGAGAGAAACTATGGAAGAAAAGCCGAGCGGTAAGGCTTTCCTGAAACAACTGTTGACCAGAATTTTATTGTGAAATAAAGGGCACGTAATGGAAATTGTGCAATATGTTGTCACAGCTGTCTGCCTGTGTGTTGTACAGCAGAATGCACAACCAAGTGCATGATCTGGGTATGTCAACCATGTGTCACATAGCTGGAACAACCACACACATTGGTTGCACAATTTTGGGTTTCCACTGTCCATACTTTGTAGGATTCTGGCCATTTTGTCTTAAAGTTTTAATATATATCCTCTTGTCACACTTTAAGACCAAATGAAGGATACAAGAGGATAAGAGTGGTACCTCGACTTACGAACATCTCTATTTACGAACAGTTCGAGTTACAAATTGCTCCATTCGCAGAAAGTTGCTTCGACTTGCAAACGAAGCCTTGACTTACAAACGGAAAAAGAAAAAACCTTTCCTGCCTTTTTTTTGACCTAAGTTCATCTTAGGTCAAAAGAAGAAAAAAATCAAAAAACACCTCCCCCTAGTGGTAGAGTACGGAACTGATGCCTCTACCTACAAACAGCGCCTCGACATCCGAACGAAAAACAGGAGGTACAGATTAAATGGTTTTCAATGCATTCCTATGGAAAAGTTTGCCTTGACTTATGAACTTTTTGACGTACAAATGCCGTTCCAATACAGATTAAGTTCGTAAGTCGAGGTACCACTGCAGTAACACTAGTAGGGTCAATCCTAATAACATTGCTAAAAGAATATGCTTTGCAGTATCAAGAGCTGCGGTTATTTTTTACCCACCTGTTTAATCCTCATTTATTAAATAACTAGGAAGACTTTAAGACACTAAAACTGCAATAGTCTTGATTCTAGAAGCCAGATTTCTTTTTTTGAAATATAGCTAAAGATTATATATTTTTTCTCCTGGCTGCACACATGTAAGGAGGAGGAGAGGAGGAAATGTGTGAGCCTTACGCTTTGGTTAAGTTTCTTTCAGGTCATGTACATAGTGCTGAACCGTGGTTGAGCATTACATACAAACAGACCAGCATGAAAAATCAGAGAGAAATGCAGGATGTTTCTGGTGGTCAGAAAAACAAGGAAGAGTCTGTGCAAGTGTGATATTATTTATGCCTCAAGCCCATTAGTTTGGTAGCTGTGTATCTTGCTCTTCTGTGTCCACGATTCCAGATCCCTGGGGAGGCAGGAGCAAGTTTTCATGGACTAGGTTAATATATTTTAATTCTATTTACTAGTGTACACAGTTTAATTTGTAAACAGTTTTGACTTGTCCAATAAAATAGCTCAGGTAAGCTTTAGAATGTTTATGTTAGTCCTATGTTACCTTTTGAAAGACAGACAGACAGAAAGTGGGTGAGAAAGAATTCTCATAGCAACAGCCACCAGATTCCAGGCCATTCTTTGGTAGAATGTATATGTATTGTATGGGAGTCTCAGAGATGGTGTACTCCCCCCCCCCCTCTTCAGGGGATGTCTCTTAAGGATGTGCTGGGTAGGAAGTGATGGATCTGTTCCTTTTGTGTCCCTTTTTGTAGCAAGAACAGTGAAGGTTTCCATACTGACAAGAAGTAGGCTTGTGATGGTGGATCTTGATCTCTGTCCATGAGCCTGCATCTCTGCAGATAGACAGTCTGCCTCGTTCTGTGTTCCCTGGGATGCCCTTCAAGGGTCGACATGATTATATCTAAAGTTTATATTATAGCATAAGCTTTGCTGGATTCAGACTATCCAAGATTGGACTTCTGTTCTTAAGCATTTGGCCTATATTTTTAAAACAGTGAAGGTATCTCAAAAGTTAAGGTTACTGGAGCTTGGAAATCTGCATGTTTTGTCTCCTTACTAAAGAAGCACCATGCAGAAGCCATAATTCATGTATAAGGCTGCATTAGGAGATACAGCTGCAGCACTCCAGTCTTAGCTGCAAGCGGCCTTTTAAAGCTACAAAATGATGGGAATGAAGAGTATGGAATCAAAGTGTTGTCATGCAAGCTTTCCAGAGTATGTACTGCAATTTTTTGTGTTGGGAAAATAAGGCTTACAGTTGTGTATTCTTTCCCCTGTCTTCAGGTAAAGGTTGGTGATACATTGGATCTCATAATTGGAGAGGATAAAGAAACAGAAACTGCTGTAGTTATGAGGATTGTCTTAAAGAAAGCCTCAGAGAAGAATGAGAACGATAAATACAAAGTGGTATTGAGGCGGTGGAAGAACCTAAAGGTGCCCAAGCAGGATGTATTTAAGTGAACTAGGATTTGCATGTGGTGGTAGTTTCCCTGTGAACATCCATTTTTGTTACATAGTACATGAATTTTGGTTAAACAAAATCCTCAAACCCTTTTTAATAATTTCAGTTGGCAACTTCTGTACTGATAACATTAGTAAACTGTTCCTGTGAGATTCCGTTTCTGCTTTTTCATTCTGAGAAGGAAGAACAATGTTTCTACAGAAGACATAACGATGGAATAAAAGGGAAAGCGACTCAACATGTCTCTGTTTTTTAAAAAAAGTTTTAGGATGCTCAAAAGCTCTAGGAGGGGAAAATGGCTCCTTCGTGTCTTGTTATAATAGTTATCACCCTTTTCAGCAAAAACAAGTTTGGTAATACCTTTAAAAAAGTCTAAACTTTTATTTGGGATACTGTATAAACTTAGCCCACTTTTTCAGATGAATTAATAAGTCTCAGTAGACATGGGGCATACCAAGTGTACCCTGTAGGCTGCGTGTGATCCTTTGAGGCCCAAATGCTGCACCTCTAAGTCCCTTCAGGACCCCAAACATTCCTTTTTGTTCTAAAAATCCTCTTGTTTTTTATAGAGGGAAAATGTTGCCATATTTTGAGAAGCCTTAGCAGCCTGGTACTCCATACTCCAAAGTTTTTAATTTACAAATTTGTCATTGGGGAGCAGACCCAATTTTTCCCCCACTAAAAAAACATTAATTTGTTTTGGCAAGAGTAGGTAGCTTCCAGAGACAGGTGTGAGCCTTCAAGTTCCACGGTAGGTATGACTTTCCCCTGGACTTCTGGAAGCTACCTATCCCCACAGTAGTCAGGTATAGATACAAATGTGGGGAATAATGGGAGGAAATCCATTCGTGGGTCCATGAGGTGATAGTTTTAGCACTGGTAATAAGGATTACCAATAATTCCCATGGAGACTGGTGGAAAATCTTAATGGTAATCATGGATTTAAGGGTTGTTAAAAGGTAATTTGAGTAGTTCAGAGAAGCTATGGGCTATGCTGTGCAGGGACACCCAAGACGGACAGGTCATAGTGGAGAGTTCTGACTCAACACAATCCACCTGGAGCAAGAACTGGCAAGCCACTCCAGTATCTTTGCCAAAAAAACTCCATGGACAGAAACAAAAGGCTAAAAGATATGACGCTGGAAGATGGGACCCTCAGTTCGGAAGGCACTGAGTGTGAAAAGCTGTACTGGGATACAATCTCAAAAATGATAGAATGATTTCAATACAAATTCAAGGCAGACCTTTCAACATCACAGTAATCCAAGTTTATGCACCAACCACCGATGCTGAAGAGGTTGAAACTGACCAATTCTATGAAGACTTAGAACACATTCTATAACTGACACCAAAGAAAGATGTTCTTCTCATTATAGGGGACTGGAATGCTAAATTTGGGAGTCAAGAGATAAAGAGAACAACAGGTAAGTTTGGCCTTGGAGTTCAAACGAAGCAGGGCAAAAGCCAATAGAGTTTTGTCAAGAGAACAAGTTGTTCATCACAAACAGAACACACAACAGGCGACTCTACACATGGACATCACCAGATGGGCAATACCAAAATCAAATTGATTATGTTCTCTGCAGCCAAAGATGGAGAAGCTCTATACAGTCAGCAAAAACAAGACCTGGAGCTGATTGTGGCTCTGATCCTCAGCTTCTCATAGCAAAACTCAAGCTTAAACTGAAGAAAGTAGGAAAAGCCACTGGGCTAGTCAGGTATAATCTAAACCTAATTGCTTATGAGTACACAGTGAAAGTGAAAAAAAGATTTAAGGAACTAGATTTGGTGGACAGAGTGCCTGAAGAACTATGGTTAGGGGCTCGTAACATTGTACAGGAGGCAGCAACGAAAACCATCCCAAAGAAGGCAAAGTGGCTGTCCAATGAGGCCTTACAAATAGCAGGGAAGAGAAGGGAAACAAAATGCAAGGGAGATAGGGAAAGTTAAAGAAAATGGAATGCAGACTTCCAAAGAATAGCAAGGAGACAGTGCAAAGATATAGAACAAAATAATAGAAAGGGAAAATCCAGAGATCTGTTCAAGAAAATTGGAGATATTTAAGGAACATTTTGTGAAAAGATAAACATGATAAAGGACAAAAATGGTAGGGTTCTCAAAGAAGCAGAAGACATCAAGAAGAGGTGGCAAGAATACACAGAGGAATTATACCAGAAAGATCTGGATGTCCCAGACAACCCAGATAGTGTGGTTGCTGACCCTAAGCCAGACATCCTGGAGAGTGAAGTCAAGTGGCCCTTAGAAAGACTGGCTAACAACAAGGCCAGTGGAGGTGATGGCATTCCAGTTGAACTATTTAAAGTCTTAAAAGATGACGCTGTTAAAGTGCTACATTCAATATCCCAGCAAGTTTGGAAAAGATCAGTCTACATCCCAATCCCAAAGAAGGGAAGTGCTAAAGAATGCTCCAACTATCATACAATTGCACTCATTTTACACCCTAGCAAGGTTATGCTCAAAATCCTCTAAGGTAGGCTTCAGCAGTATGTGGACCGAGAACTCCCAGAAGTACAAGCTGGATTTTGAAGGGGCAGAGGAACTAGAGACCAGATTGCTAACATGCACTGGATTATGGAGAAAGCCAGAGAGTTCCAGACAAACATCTATGTCTGCTTCATTGACTATGCAAAACCCTGTGACTGTGTGGACCAGAGCAAACTATGGCAAGTTCATAAAAAAATGGGAGTGCCTGACCACCTTATCCATCTCCTGAGAAATCTATATGTGGGACAGGAAGCAACAGTTAGAACTGGATATGGAAACACTGATTGGTTGCCAGAAGAAATATCAACAATCTCAGATATGCAAATGATGCCACTCTGGTGGCAGAAAGGAGGAATTTAAGAACCTCTTAATGAGGGTGAAAGAGGAGAGTGCCAAAAATGGTCTGAAGCTCAATATATAAATAAAAAAAAACACACTAAGATCATGGCCAATAGTCCCATCACCTCCTGACAAATAGAAGGGGAAGATATGGAGGCAGTGACAGATTTTACTTTCTTGGGCTCCATGATCACTGCAGAGGGTGACAGCAGCCACGAAATTAAAAGATGCCTGCTTCTTGGGAGGAAAGCGATGACAAACCTAGGCAGCATCTTAAAAAGCAGAGACATCACCTTGCTGACAAAGGTCCACATAGCCAAAGCTATGGTTTTTCCAGCAGCGATGTATGGAAGAAGGCTGACCGCTGAAGAATTGATGCTTTTGAATTGTGGTGCTGGACGAGACTCCTGAGTCCTCTGGACTGCAAAGAGAACAAACCTATCCATTTTGAAGGAAATCAACCCTGAGTGCTCACTGGAAGGACAGATCCTGAAGCTGAGGCTCCAATACTTTGGCCATCTCATCTCATGAGAAGAGAAAAAGCCCCTGATGTTGGGAAAGTGTGAAGGCAAGAGGAGAAGTGGACGACAGAGGACGAGATGGTTGGACAATGTCATCGAAGCTACCAACATGAATTTGGCCAAACTCTGGGAGGCAGTGGAAGACAGCAGGGCCTGGCATGCTCTGGTCCATGGGGTCATGAAGAATCGGACACGACTTAATGACTAAACAACAACAACCAAAAAAAGGTCATTGATGGCTGACAGATGCAACTAAATATAAATTAACACTTGCCTGGTGGTAAAGGTCTGTGCCAGTTATACCTTCTTTGTTTGTAACTTCAGTATCTCTTTTTCTTGTTCCTCTCCTGGGATGAGAGTGAATGGTGGACACTTTCACGGATGCACTGACTTTAAATATGGCAGCTGGAAAAAGTGATGCGTTGCATCTAAACCAGTGTCTGAGGCTCTTCAGCCAAGAGATTGTTCTCTTTCTTGCAGTACTTCCCCCGTTTACTTTATATTTAATGATCAGCTATAACAATCTTCTTTTCTTTCTTTTTACAGCACTGAAGTATTCTACCCTGCATTTTACGTTTTCTGATTTTTTTTAGTGTTCGTTGGTCAGCCTCTCAATCCAAAAAAATCTTTTAACGTTTTGTAAAAAAGCTTACCCCAATCCTTCATGTTTTTTCCTCTTTTTTTGACCCATTTCAGAAAGGTGGTCTCTAGATACAGTACAGAATGTTGTTACAGGGCATTAATGAGCAAATGTATTATAGTATTATAGTTTCTGTTTGTTTTCCTTTTATATCTAGTCATATGCCCATAAACAATGTTTTAAATCAGTGGCCTACTGTATTTGCACTTATAGAGCAGAGTTCTTAAATATACTATAAATAGTGCTAAAACAGGGAGATCATAATTGAGTGATTTGCTTCTGGAACCTCATGCAGAATTCAGCTCAGAAAGAGTTTGAAAGCCATAGTCATGTATACATCGCTCTCACGGTTGTACCAGTAAGAGGGAGTTCTAGAACAGAGACATTGCTGTTTTCTTCAACACAAGGGAAGCTTTCTGTACATCTGCAGAGTGAGTGGAACTGCAGAAGTAAATATGACAGCTGAAATAAACATTGGAATTTTGAATTAGAGCTGGAGTATCTATTTCTATGAACTTTTAACATATTTGCTTTCTGCTACTAAGTCCAAAATACAATTTTGTTCGGATGACTTAGAGTTTCATCCAGTATTACACAAAGCTCAGTATAGTAATGTAACAGAATTTTCCTTTCCTTCTCTGCCCTGCCACCATCCCCACCCTTCCTAATCTGCTTGCTTCACTATTTGGGTCACTTTTCAATCAAAAAGTTCCATTACTGAAAGCCTTCCATTGGGTGAAGCACATATTGGACTTCATCCTTATTGTGTACTATGTATTAATGTGTACATTACTGAATTTATAGAAACTGGTACACCTCTGTTGCACCATATCAGCAACCAAGCAATTGAGGAAGTGCCAGACATTGGCCAGTTTGTTGTTCATAGTTGTGCTAGTACAGCAGGAGTGATGTTATTGGCAGTAGCAGATTGCCACTAGAGTTTCTCTTCAATTTTGGGCTGCACATGACTTCATCTTATTGCACTTCATCTTACATGGAACAGCACATTGACCAAACAAAACTGGCTCATCCTTTTGATGATGTACTCTGAGTACTTCCCAGAATCCTCTCCTGCACTGTGTCCATCATAATCTTGTTTTTCAAAACTAAAACATTTTTACCTTTTATGATTTGAAGTGCTCAAAAATGCATTTTCACTGTGTCATACACTTTGTTAGGCTGCTTTAAAGCTAGGTTTGACCTTAGGATTTTATTTTTACATTGTAATAAGTGTCATTTGAAAATAGCAATAATTCTTTGTTCACAAAAATTATACAAAAGAAAGGATTCATTTCCAGAGTGATATACAATACTTACCTTTTAACTGGTAGTCTTATTTTGTTTTCCTGTATCACACAAAGTTAGGAAATGATTCCTATTATTTTTTCACTTAATTTGACATTTACTTCCCAATATCCTGTTCTGATACTTCTCCCATTTATTGGTAGTGACATTGGTACAGCAGCACCAATTAAAGAATTCTTCATTCAATTTTGGGTTGTGTGCAACTCAAGCATAATGAAATGAAATGTTTGGTCTTTTTATTCCCACACATTAATTGGCAAAACTGCCTTACAAAAGACATGTCAGTCATTTCTCTTTTTGTTGTGCAGCCTCATGGTTTGCTGAGTTTCAATGCAACGTGCTAATGTAAATTTAAGTCGAAGTTTACAGAAAATCCTGTCTTCATAAAACTGCTCTATTTAACCACTGTATCAGTTGGAATATATTTTGTTACTGATGTTCCTTCTTCCTTTGTTAGAGTTTTAAAATGAAAGGATGGGGAAATAGAAAAGATTGCAGGCCAAAACAGAACCTTTTAAAAAAAAATACTGTAAAGCTGTTCTCTGAATTGTGTATGATGAGCTATCACGGCAAGGGCAACTGACGCCAAAAAAGTTATCAAAACTGGATGTGCCTCTTGCAAAAGGACCTTCTCACAAAAGAAATGCTTAAGTTAGAACAATTAAAGCACAGTACTTTCTAAATGGCCTTCAAGCCATGTGCACATCTGTAGTTGCACAGAGGTTATAACTAGAGATGGGGGCATTCGTATATGAATATCCATGCACAGGTGGAAACCATGATTTCGCTGCTGCCGCCAGCTCCGCAGAGGCTTTCTATTGCGCTGCTGTCCACAATTAATTACCCAGTCCTGGCAGGAGGTAGGATGACAAACATCTCTGCTAAGTCGGAGAGTGGCTAATCCATTGCGGAGAACAGCGTGATAGGAAAGCCTCCCCAGAGCTGGCAGCAGCAGTGAAATTGTGAGTGACGAAATAACCCTAGTTATTTCCACCTGTGTGGGGAAATTTGTATTTGTATACAAATAATCCCATCTCTAGTTATATGCTGTATTATGTCCATGGATACAATTACTGCTTCACAGGATTTATTCCAAACGTGAGGTAGATATATATTGTATTTATGAGAATTTATGTGGTTGTCACCAAGAACACACTAGATCATATACTGTATACTTCATATGATTGTTACTCCAGAAATTGCAGGATGGAGGCTGTTTAGACTGTATGAACTGGCTTTTGGCTACATATCTGACACTCAAATATGCATGGAGGCTATGTAATTTCAACAAAGGCAGCAGGGCAAGGCAGAAACCCTATACATACAGTATATACTTCCAGGCAAGTAGGGATTACCTCTGAGCAGGTGTACATTTTGCCACGTCACTTGGTCAAATTGACTGACAAATTCAGCTGTTGGATACATTTACCACTTAAAAGCTGAACTATTTTCAAGATGTTTTCTGAAACTAGGCAAGATTCTGTTACTGATGTTCCAAATACCTCCGTGCTCAGAGCAAACTATACAAAGTGTATGTTGCACACTTTATGTTTCAGAAAAAGATCAATATTTGTCAAAACTAACAACTTGTAATTTTCATGGCATTTTATGTTGTTGAAAGCATTTTTTAAGCAACATACAAACAAAACAAAACACTCCTTCATTTAATACATTCATTTTGCTAAATATGCATTAACAGAGATGGAAATTTTTAAAAAAATATCTGCTCATCTTTGGTAAAATGTTCTCTTGGATTCAATTAGACCAGGGGTGTCCAACCTTTCACCTTCCTGGGTCACATTAGAAGACAAAATTTTGGTTTGGGCCGCACATACATTTGGTTTGGACCGCATGGGGGGCAGCCCTAGACGTCCTCCGCAGCCCCGCTCCAAGCGCACTTACGGGCAGCTGCGATCTCAGACAGCAGAGGCTGCCAGCTTCGACTCTGGTGGCTTCATGGGGCCGGGAGGGGGTGCACCTATTGACAGGGACGGTGCAATGCAGTCATGCAGCACCCCTGTCCCCTCCCCTCCCACTCCTTCCTTCCTTCCCTCTCTCCCCCTCTACTGTTGTGACATGCCCCGGCCACATTCCAGCTGCAAGCGCCGGCAGTGTAACTTGAAACTTTGGAATTTCTTTAAAAATAAAAAATTGCACCGGGCCGCATTATGAGCTGATCTGGGCCACATGCGGCCCTCGGGTTGGACAAGCCTGAATTAGACTGTAGGTAGTTTCTTCATGGATGGTACATCATTTTTGTAGGATGTTGCTAAATCATAGCAATTGTCTACAGACAAATGGTTTCAACAAGGCCTGACCAGTTTTTTAAAAAGTGTCTGTAATCACAGGAACATGTAATAGTGGGAGCTGTTATCGTGAGAGCTACATATTCGTAAACATTCAAATGTAAGCTTAATTCAGTTGCTACAACAGATGTATTTGAATAGATGATTTAAAAAACGCATGTATCAAATGAACATGTCAGGCCAGCAGTGATAAGTATTAAATAATCATTGTAACAGCAGACAAGCTCCCCAGTCCAGGGCCTCCTGCATGACCTAATGTGTATATGAAGCTATTTGGAAATCTATCTGGTTGAAGGTCATGGGGAAGGGGTAGGTTCATTGCCCCTACTAGATGCTGGAGAGCTCCATGTTCTAGTCCCATGGAGAAAAATGAGGCATAATAATTATGAAGGGTTTTACTAGGACAAATGTGCAGCTAACCTTATCTGGATTCAATAAAGTAGCTATAAGAAAACTGGTTTAGGGCCACTGATTTTATTCTTATAACTGAAATGCCATGACTACCAAAGAAAGAGGGGAAAAATTATTGGAATGATGCAGAACTCCCCAGAAAAAAGGCAAACAAGTTAATATTTCACTATCATTTGGGTGTATTTAATGGAAACATACAACCAATAAATTTGGCCACTTGAACTTCAGGTAATTCCAAATCTATTAGTTGCTAAAACAATTAGAGGGGTTTTTTTTAAAAAAAAATCCAGGTGCCAATGTACCTGACCTGAATCTAGTTGGTAGTCTAGCTAGAGCAGACTGATTTACACAATCACTTACTTAATAGCTGACTCACAAATTAAGATGCTAATTCAAGAGTCTATTCTACACGGGATGAAAAATTAGACTCGGGTCTTCATCAAAGTGTTGCAGAGGAAATTTTTAGATATAATTTCAAATAATCAAATATATAGGTATACTTCATATTTAATATTGTAAATGTTCCAAAGGCTGCAGTACTGGCAAAAATATGGACTAAATGTTTTGTACGTTCCTCAGTTCAAGTATTTTTATAAGTAGCAAGAATAACAGGTAATAGCACCATGTTCCACTGATAAAGGGCAGGATTCTATTAATCACCACTCATACCAGTAGTTCTTAAACGAAGAGGTCACAATGAAAACAGTAAAATAACTTATAAGAATAAAAACTGAAATATCGGTACTAAGTAATCTTAACATAAACACATGTTAAATAATGCTATAAGTATAACCATAATTTTTACACCAAATCAGTTCTAAAGTAAAATTTTTAGAATTATTGTAACTGTCCTGTTCATTGATTTTTAGTTACCTCCAGTCTTCTAATATTCAAACTAATGCAACAGAATTAACACAGAAAATGTCTTGACTTTTCACTCTTTCAATTAGTATGGCACTTCAAAAATTAGTTTTGAAAGATTTAAAAATTGGTTGATTTCCAAAAGACTGATTAGGGGTACTTTTCTGTCTTAAAGAGCACTATTTACTGTTACAGATCAATTAAAATTTAAAAGTTACATAATCTATTCTGACTAATGATTATATTTAAATGTGACATTGCTGCATCATCTCTATCATTTATAGCTCCCTGTATACCAAACGAAGGTAATTAGTAAGGACACTGTCTATCGGGAAACTAGCCTACATATCAGCATATAGAAATCAGTGGAGCTACAAAATATGTTCTTCTACAATATGCATTCATTTGAAAAAAGTTTTCTAAGAGACATTATCACTGGATTAAACCATGCCTCTCCCGCTCCTTAGCCACTGAATTGCCCTTCCCCATATGCGTAATAAATACATGTAGAGAATTTTACTGGTCAGTTGCCCTAGTGCTGAGTGAATATATTGAGTAGTCTTAATCTAAAACAGACTGATGTCTTAAGCTATTTCAAAGTATTTGAAATGGTCAATGTCTTTGGAAAGTTAAAAGATCCTATCACTTTTTTACTTTCTTAGCTTTTTTCAATATGTCACACTTTTTTCTATTGGGACGTCTGCATCTTTCATCAATGCTTGGTATACATTCATAATGCCAAACTTCATCCATTTTCTCAACAGGATACACAGCTTCTACATAATGACGGATTAGTCGTAGTCTGACAGGATCTAGCTGCTTTTTGTTACAAGCCCCTGAATGATTGTACTGCAGTCTGAGGTTATCTGAAGTAAAAAGTTCTGGAAAAAGTCTTACAAGAAGTCTGGCAGCAAAGTTACCAACTGAAAGGCTCTGCTGTACTATCTCTCTTACTTCTTTATCAGATAGCAGATACAGAGAAGGCACAGGAAAGTCTGGAGGAGGAACAACCAGTTCCTCAAGTGGTATCTTGCAGAAATCTTTGTTACTTCTTTCTGGAGGCAACGGTGGTCCATCAAATTCTTCCTTAAATCGTTCTGGGTTTATTGCATAGGTCAGAAATTCTCTCCTTTCAGGTCCTGGTACATGGATTTTTCGCTGCAGTTGGTATGTGCGTCTCTGCTCAGTATCTCTGCGACGACATCTTTCATCAAGCTTTCCAACAAATTCCAAGGTCCATACTCTATCATTCTTGGCTCTTGGATATAACATTTGCACATAGTGTCGTATTAATTTAATCCTAATGGGATCAAGTTGTTTCTTACCCAGAGATCCACTACAATTATATTGCTTCCTTAAGTTTTCATGAGTAAACAATTCAGGGAATAAGTGAACTAACAACCGAGAAGCAAAATTTCCTATAGACAAGCTGCTTTCATATATGTTCTTCAGCTGATCCTTATTTAACAGGTAGTCTGGAATAGGGACATCAAAATCAGGGGGAGGGATCTCTATCTTATCAAAGTCTATAGGCACAAGCCAAATCTTTTTTGACCGTCTGCCGGGCCTTTCATATTCAAAATTATCTTCTACTTTTATAACAGAAACATCATCAGGCAAACTAGAAGAATCATAGCAATCATCTCTCATCTGTTCACCCTCACTATCATCCATATACATGCTTTCAAGTTCATCATTTATTCTCTGAACACAATGCTGCAACCAGGCTTTTCTTTCCTGCATGGCAGGAAAATAAATCTCTGTGTACCTGCGGATTACTTGAAGTCGCTGAGGGTCAAGCTCTTGTTTCCCACTTTCTCCATAACAGCTATATCTCTCAGCCAACTTTCTGTGATCAAAGAGTTCTGGAAACAATCTGTGTAGCAAAAAGACACAGAATTCTCCAGGAGAGGAAGCTTCATCTAAAAATTCATTTATATCCTGAGCATCAAATACCCATTCAGAGGCAACAGAATTACTCTGGTCAACAGATAGAGCTTCTTCATCCTCCTTATCAACTATCAGATCAGGTTCGTAAAAACTGGAGGACTGTATATCTGTCTGATTGTTTTCCATGTCCCTCTGGGCCCAAAAGCTATTGAAAAAGTCATTAACCTGAGGCAAACATTCTGCCTGCCAAACAGCAGGATTTTTCACAGAAGGATAACATACCTCCACATAATTTCGGATGAGCTGCAAATGGAGAGATTCAAGCTTCTTTTTATTAAGATAGCCACAGGTACTACAAGTCCTGCTTATTTCATCCTCACTGAAGAGCTCTGGAAAAAGCTGTACAAGTAATCTGCAAGCCAAGTCTCCCCCTGATGTACTTTGATCCATGATCTGTTTGAGTTCTGAGGAAGTCAGCTGGTATTCAGGTGGCGGCCTGAATTCTGCTACAGTGTTTGTTGGGCTGACCTGCCTTTTAATTCTACTGACTTCTAGTGATAACAAGTCTACTTTGCTATGAAGTTGAGTCATGTTGGAATTTAAGGTATTCAGTGTATAAAACATTTTTTGTATTAAAGAATATATATTTGAATCAGACTCAGAAGTAGCAGCTGTAATAGCACTTGTATCTCTTTTGCGGTGTTCATTCAAAGTTCGCAGATTGGAGGGACTGTTAGGATTAATCTTTTCAAACAACTCATAAGATGTGAACTGTTCTGCTCCTGGCAAAGTCTTCTTCTCTGTAATTTTGTGTGAGATCCCATAAAGAGGTTTCTTATAGGATGGCATTATTGTGTTTGTTGGAGTTTCTTCTTCACAAATCCATGCTACATTAGGATTCTTGCTCTTATTTGACAGTTCCACATCTTCATGAATAGGTGATGCATCACTATGCTTCAAGTTTGAAACAGGACCCTTTCAATGAACAATATTATCATTAGTATATTCCAAAATAAATCACTTATTTGTTAATAGATTATTTAATAATTAATAAACTGTAAGTAATCATTACTTGTAATAATTATATAATTGTAACAATTGTGATACCCAGTGTTGTGGTTAGAATGACAGACTAGGACTCCTGGGTTTGAATCCTTAGTCAGTCATGGAAACTCAGTGAGGGTTTGGAACTGGTTAAACCATTCCTTAAATATCTCACTTATCTTGAAAGCCCTATTGGGGTCTGACTTGACAACACATAAGAACAATAATTACTCAATTATTAATGAATTTTGCACTAACTCGAAAAACCAATTTTATTTAACAGAACACTGCCAAAGGGCTGAATCCATACTACATTGAATTTCATTTTCATTGAAAACAATGAGATTTGACTTAGCTATGACTCTTCCCACTAATTTTCAACAGAACCTAAATATAGCTTAACTTACTCTGGATTCAATCTGTAGTGTATTGACACTGACACAGGAAAACACTTTAACAATAATAATTGTTCCCTGTCAAGTCAATTCTGACTTATGGTGATCCTTTCCAGGTTTTTCCAGGTAGAGAATACACAGAAGTGGTTTGCCATTCCCTTCTTCTGGGGACATCCTGGGACTGCAGCTTTCCCAAAGCCACATGGGCTGGCTCTTCTTCTGGGAGGCAGAGTGGGGAATCAACCTCCCAACCTCTGGCTCTGCTACTAAATACCTAAACCACTGAGCTATTCTTAAGTAAGTGAGGAAAATATCTATGTAAAGCCACGAGTCCTTGTTCATCTAAAATTCCTTGTAAGACTGTGTAACAAGTCATCCTGAGATTCACTACAGATATTCAGACAAGCCTGAATCACCAGGTTCACTTAGGCACATGCAACAGGAATGGAATTAATATTAATATGTATCAGTGCAGCAAACATTTTCAGTAAAGAATAACTGATCCCAGAAATGTGGGCTATAGTTTTTTTTAAATAAAAATAAAAATGCCAGGTCTTACTATGAGTTCTTCCTAATATATACAAATGTGTTAGTGATTTTCAAATATTAATGAATTAAGAAATGTAAATATAAATACATCACTTCAGATATGAAGACATTTGTAATGTTTTCATACATTTTCAAATTATATAGGAGCAGGAGCTGGGTCCCTGATTATTTACATATTCAGAGAATCACATAACTGTAGAGCTGGAAGAGACATGACTGTGTTGAGTTCATCTACTGAAGTAGGAAATCCAGATCTAAAGCATCCCTGACAGATGGCCATTCAACCTTTAGTGCAGGAGAGCCTATTATCTTCCAATATGCTGAACAGCTCTTAATTTAAACTATAATGTACAGTGTAACTGAACTCCACAGTCTATGAACAACCAGGTTTTAACAGGGTGCCAAAATGATGGTGCCAGTCAGGACTCTAGGGAGAAGGCACTCAGAAACCGGGGTGCCATAGCAGAGAAAGCCCTGCCTTTCCTCCCATATAATGTATTGTTCTCAATGGTCAGAAACTGTGGAGGGCCACTCCAGTGCATTTCAATGAGTTTCTGCTGGCAGTCTCACTGTCATATAGCTGCAGGATCTGTCATCTTCAAGGGCAGCCACAATGCACAAGTCCAAACAAAAAATCATCAATGAATGAGCTACTGTGGCCAGGTTACCCCTCTCCTGAGCCATGAAGTCCACCTTGATCTCTAGTCACTATGATGAATCTAGGAGTACTCCTAAGTTACACAGCTGTTCCTCTGAGGGGAGTAAAGCCCCTCTAGGACAGGTCACTCACCTAATTCCTGTATTTGGAAACCACCAAGTTAGTAATTGGGAACAACTTTATCAATATTCTTTTCCATCTCACTATTCAATACTGAGCTAAGACCTTGACCAAGTCACCAGCCCTATCAGTTCAAAATAATGGCCAGTGCATAAATCCAGGTTCTTCAGATTATATATGTCTCTGGGATTGGACAATCTTAATTGCACCCCCACCCTATAGGGACAGTGTGCTACTGTCAATCAAAGCTTTGCGAAGAAATAATCTGATGATGGCAACAAGTTAGTAGTAGTCCCTCTGCTCAAACCAGATCATCCTCTGTCTTCTCAACAACAAAAACCAGGCATATCTTGCCACATTTATGAGCCATCAATATACTGGGACAACTCCACAATTGTCATGCTAGCCATGATGTCCCAAGTGGGCACTGTCAGGTCATTGAGTCCTCCAGAACCAAGATCTAGGCTTCTCCACCAGCAACTCCAAAACCACTTCAGCAGCTCAGGCAGGGAAATTGCTGCGAAGTGAGGTATGCAGTACACCACCAGCATCCCTGTTTTGTCTCTCTGGCCTAGCACAAGCTTGTCTGTTATGCTTGTCACTGTGTCTGATGTATTGAGGGAGTGGTTTTACCACTGACATCCCAGTGAGTTTCCTTGGCCAAACAGGGATTTGAATCCAGCCTTCTGGAGTTCTGGTCCATTTAGATACAATTTCTTAAAACTGATGACAGAGTAGATAGGCCTCCTTGTGGGAGAAAGAAGGCATCCTTGTAGATGGCTGTATCTCCTTCCATTGGCCATGCAATCTAGTTTGATGCTCCACTAATTACCTAGGCAGAGAACACTGGGACAAGTTCACCTTGTTTCAGTAATGTAAACTCATCCACCCTGTCTCCAGTAATAAACACAGATTAGCCTCTTCATCCACAATCATGCCATGGATGGTAGTTGTTTTATTATGGACCAAACCTCCCCAAACCAAAGTGTCACAGAAATTAACAACCAGGAAAGCTTGAACATTATCAGTGTACAAGCTAATAATAAGATGTCAGTTGAGGACTCCAATCTAGTTAGTTCACACATCAACATGGACACTAATATTATTCAGCTGTTATCTAAGTATTCATTACTTTCTTCACAGCAAATGTAAACTGGCTCTGACTAAAATGCATTAACTGCAGGCCAACCAGGAATGGTTAGCCAGAAATGCATAAAAGAATTACCTCTTGTGTAAGATTTCTTTTCTTCACAGTGGATAGAGTTTCTTGGTGGTTTCCTGAGCCATCACAACTAAATGAAGTCCGTTTTCGTTTGTTGGTATCTTGCAGAGAAGTTAATAAGCTATCCAGAGAGTTTTTTCCAGAAGGTTTTGAGATTACAGAGCAGTCTAGAACTTCATCTTCTTTGTCTGTTTCTACTTTCATAATATTTTTGATAATCACTAGAGTACGAAAAAAAGTTGAGACAAATGGATTACAGACAGGTACCTCATTGATAATAGTCAGGCATATTGGTGTTGATCTCTAAATAATATCAATTTATTTAGTAATGGAAAGATAACTCAATTTGTATTTTCTTTAAGCTTGCATTATGCATTAACTATTACAAGTAACTTGGAATGGAAACTGGTTCCAAGTTTAGGTATGTTACTTCACACTAAAGAAAGACTTGAGAAGCAGTAATGATGACTGCAAAGTTTTCCTGCTTCAGTTCTCCACAGGCCCCTGACCCTTCCCCCTCATGTCATCCCTCTGCCTGGGGCAGCAGAAATCCAAACACTGCAAGAAGACTCCTTCCCCTTCTCTCCAAAAGAGCTTGCTTCCTAGAGCACTGGAGAGGAGGAAGCCACATATCTTTGAGTCCTGGACCTGGATTTGGTACATGTGGGAAATCTCTGAATGAAACAAGTAACCCAGAATTAGTCACTAGATCAGAGCTTGGCTGATCGAACACTTTGTGTGTGCAAACCCTTGTTGGGGAGTTGATATTCGTGATTCATGTCAAGCAGCAGCCATCCCTTCTTCTCCAGGGGCTTCTGTCATCGTTTATAATCAGCCCCCGCAATCTTGCAGGCTTGATCGCATAGCCAATAGGGGCAGGTGAGATTTGAGAGATTTCACTCTTTTATCCCGAAATGTTGATTTTCTCTTATTTGGGCATAGAAGAGGTCCAGATATACATTTAGTAACTGTTGTACTAAAACTCAGGTGATTAAAAGGGGAGATTGTTCCGATATTTTAAACTGAATCCTTATGTGAAGATTAAAATCAGTTAGAACATAACCTTTTATAGTTCTAGTCAGAAATAAATCCTAAGTAGGGTTTACTCCCAGGTTCGTGGATATAGCATGGCAGTTTTAATTAATTATGAGCACTAAACAATGGGTGAAAGAAGTTATAGTCGAGCCTAATGCAGCAGTTTATGTAACAGCAGTTTCTATGGTTTAAAATTTTTAACAGTGTAGTCCTATGCATGTCTACTTAGAGGTCAGTCCCAATGGGCAAATTCCTGTTGCTTAGGCACAGTAAATTGTCATAGAGTAGGCCAATTGAATCAATAAGGATCTGGCAAGTCAATCTCTCTCAGAGTTCTACTGATTCGAACAGGCCTACTTTAATAACAATTTACTGTGCTAAAGTAAGTTGCACTTAGGGTAGGCCCATTTGAAATAATGAAATTTATAGAGGAGTCAACTCACCAAATCCACATTAATTCAACTGGTGTACTATAGTTCAATTTACTATGCTAAGCAACAGGATTTTGGCTGCTCTAATCAACAGGAATTACTGTGAACTGAGCGCACATAGGCTTACAGTGCAAGTGTCTTCTAATCAGAGCTTCCATCCTTCCACACATCAATTCTAAAAATAAATACTTTGCTGAAAAATAAATATGTTAAGAGAAAAGGAGAGACTTTGTGGCTGAAATCTAGTAGTAAACTGCAACTACAGTTGGCTCTCTAAATCAATGTGGATTTGATGAGTCAACCTATCTGTAAATTCACTGATTTAATAGGCCTATTCTACTTGTAACTTACTACTGGATTTCAGCCTATATGTAATAAAGAAATAACTAGTATTATAGATGGGAATAAGAACACAGTGGAATCTATCAGTCTGCAATATTAACTTACAACATCCTATAAACACTTTTCCTGGAAGTAATTCTCGTTGAACATTAAAGGTTGTTCCCTGGTGCCTTTACAGAATGCAAAACTTTAAATGATTGAGTGCAAACCTGGTACCATTCATTATTTAATTTGACTTACAGTACAAGATTAAAATTGTAAACCTGCAGATAAGACAAATGGCTTTCAATGGAACTGTGATTTTCTTTGCATCAAGATGGTAAAGGTAAAAAGGTTTCCCTTGACATTTAGTCCAGTTTCCCTTGACATTTAGTCTAGGGCGCGGTGCTCATCCCCATCTCCAAGCCGTAAAGCCAGCGTTTGTCCGTAGACAGTTTCTGGGGTCGTGTGGCCAGGGCGACTAGACACGGAACACGTTACCTTCCCACCATGGTGGTACCTATTTATCTACTTGCATTTACATGATTTTGAACTGTTAGGTTGGCAGGAGCTGGGACAAGTGACGGGAGCTCATTCCGTCACATGGATTTCATTTTACAACTGCTGGTCTTCTGACCTTGAAGCACAGAGGCTTCTGCGGTTTAACCCGTAGTGCCACCACGTCCCGTGATGGTAGACTTTACACACAAGCTTCTCATCTGTCCCAGGAAACTGAATTTTGACTCTGGAATTGTTACTGAGATTCACACGGGAATCAGTAAGATAAGAAAGGGAAGAGCAAGGTGATGAAATTGTAAGAGATGGAGAGAGGAAAAGCAAGAAAACAATTTAATGGGAAAGGTAGGAAATGAGCTCAAAACAGAGATTAAAGAGGAGAACAATAAAATAATGGAACTTCCCCACTTTTTCTGGTGAGTCACCTAACTTAAATGGAAATATAGCAATAACTTAAGTGTTAAAATTTTGCGTCCTCTAGCCTAACAGAATCAATTTAGCAGTCAACTAAACTGTTATTTCTATTAACACTCCCATCTCTACTCATTTACCATAATACACAGCAGAGTGGGCACCCAGGAAAGGTCCAGAAGCTGCTCTTATTCCTGTGACTCCACCCCCTAAATGTTCTTATTAAAACTGAGTATTTTTTTAAAAACGAAATTGAAAAAGCCATTTTTGCTGTCTAACGGCTAAATTTTGAGGGGGCCACAAAACATGATAAAATTGGAACCTATGCCCCCTAGTGGATACAAGACCTTTTGAGAACCCCATTAAAATCTTTTACAGTAAAACTTTTTTCTGTGTGTGTATGCATGCTTGGTGGCTGTATCATTATTTTAAGATATGACTTAATAGATACTACTTACAAAAAGCCTGAATAATCTCCTCCTGAAAGTACAGCAAAGATTCGTTACATGCTTTTGAATTGCTTTTAAATTATAATGACCCTAACTCGGCTTTTGAGATACGTGAGATGTTCAAGGCACTGTTTACTACTGCTAAACTGCAGAGTTGAGCAGGGATCTGAACCCATGTCTCCTGAGTCCTAGTTTGATACTCTGTCTCCTCCACTAGACTGATGCCCAGAGCAAGGATTATTTTACAATAAATAACTTCACTTAGCATTCAATAAATTAAACAATCTTTCAAAATTCTCCATTATTAACATGCTAAATTCTAATTTCACCACATTCAGAACTTAACAGCTATAATCTAATGCATGATTTCATTATAAGAGCCACAAAGTTACAGACATGAAGAGCCAGGGAAGGCAAAACATACATAAGAAATCACAGAAAGTGATGTGCATTAATATGTAAGACTTTCCAAGATATTTTCATCTGTTTCAACAATTACATCAAAATAGATATTTTTAGTATAAACTAAAATTTAGACTTATATTGTTCAGTCAACATGTAATTAAAAATGTGCCATTACCTTCAGCATTGTCTTCTTCATCAAATAATTCTCCTGAATTCATATTCTGTTCCTCTACAAGGGAGGGAGGAAAAAGAAATCATTAAAAATATTTTAAAATTTAAAAACTATCACATTATACATTTTAGAAGAGATGTGTAGAAACTACTACAATGTAAAAGTTAGTTTACCAGCCAGCTTTTCTGGTAATGTGCAGGACGCACATTCTGTAAAAACAAAGGCATTTAGCTCAGTAGAAAACACTGGCCAGATTCCAACACATTGAATCTACTCATGGCACTGTGAGCTGGAACAGTAGAATTGGGAAAAGACCACTTCCACTTGCTTCACAATCTCTTGTACACCCAAAAACATGCTCTAGAAGCTTGGGAAGCAATCTGGAGAAAATGTATAATACAGCAACAAAGGCTGCAAGAAAAAAGGCAAGTTTAGTAATTTAACTAGCGTGATGTTGGATTTAAATCACTATACAGTATGTGGTGTTGCATACAAGAGTAGTATCTGGGATCAGTTCACTATGTGCCCTGATCTTCCTATTATTCAGTGTGAAAGGCTGCCTGGATAGGTGGCTATGAAGTAAGAAAGGAGGTCCAGGTCACTTAGGCAGTTTATAACTTTAAAAAAATTATTAAACTAGTGTCAGATAAGCAGAATGCACCACAAAGAACAGGCACAAACAAAATGTAGCAGTTGCAATCCTATATTGTCTTGTGTGTATCATGAGCTGTCAAGGAACTTCCAATTTATGTTGAGCCCAATAGGGTTTTTTGAGGTATGTGAGATGTCAAGGATGATTTATAATAGTACTCAATGAGTTTCCATGGCCAAGCAAAAGTTTGAAGCCATATTTCTTAAGCCCTATTGGAATGCAATGAAACCTGTTTAATGCGTTCCAATGGGGAAGAATCGTCGTTGTCTAGCGAAGATCGGCCATAGGAAAGCCGCTGTGCGAACCGCTGATCAGCTGTTTAAATAGCTGTCTTGTGAAGCATAGGTCCTGAAAACACCCATTTTGCGAGCGCGGAGGGAGCTGTCAAAATCGTTGTCTAGCGAAAATTGGTTTGCGAAGCAGGGACCAAACATTGTCCAGTGAAATTCCCCCATAGGAATCACTGGTTTGCGAATTGCTATAGTGATCGCAAAAAGTCAATGTCTAGCGATAAAACTGTCATGCGGGGTAACTGTCTAGCGAGGCACCACTGTACCCTGTAAACATACCAATTATTTCGGGATTAGAGCCCAACAACATCTTGAGAACCACAAACTGTTTCTTCCTGACTCTGATAATTCACTCCATAAGGACCACCAATTTACTGCCCTTCTGCACTCTAGGCTCCATGTGAAGCTAGTAAATAAAACTGCAGTAGTATTAATCTCCTGATAAAGAACAAATTTCAAGAAACGTGCTGGGATATAAGGTACACTATTTGGATTTCAGGCAAACCGCCCCTCCCATATAAGAATAAAAAATAAAAATGAATCTTGTGGCACCTTAAAGACTTGTTATATTTTAATGTGCACTTTCATGGACAAGTCCACTTCTTCAGACATATGAGATAAAATAGAGTTCGAGTAAAACGATGCAGTGGTGTATAGTTGCATTTCATATATGCAATACTTTGTGACCTATTTTTGGTTTTCAGTTCTTTAGAAGTCTATCTTGTATACATTCCCACAAGAGGCAGGAAAAAAAGGCAAGACTAGGAAAAAATGAAGGGGAAGGAGTTTTTTGGTACCTTAAAGATCAACTGTGATATGCTTGCACAGAATACCACGACTACCGCTTCTAAAACTATTTGGATTAATACATTAGTCTCCTGATTTCTATTTCTCCCTTTGAAATAGAGACCTTCAAATAAATGAGCACCCACATTTTCCCTTTATTAGAAACTTACTGTGAGGCCCCTTCCATTCATTTCAAAGAGCATAAAATCAGTTTTTCCATAAAGACGCATTAACATCCTCATGTGATACAAAAGCAATACAGTACTTTGTTGTTTGAAGTTCTATTGCAAAGAAAAGTAGGCATGTTTTTGCTCCTCCAGAGAATGCAACCTGTATTGACAGATTCAAATTACAAGGAGATTCTAACTAAACATTAGGAAGAACACTAAAAGGTAATAGTTGTTCAACAGTGCAGTGGGGTGTCTTGTGCAGTGGTGATTTCTTTTTCTTTAGAGGTTTTAAATTAAGGTTAGCTGGCCATCTGTCAGGGATGCTTAACTTGCTGTTTTCCCAAAGTGACAGAATATTGGGAAATCTGAACCTGCACATATTTTTTCTTAGCTGTAAGTTTTGAAGTTCTAAATGATAATAGTAGTACGCATCATTCTATAACTGGAGGATTTTAAAAACAAGCAAAACTGACATATTGCAATGGCTGAAAACTAGAGTGGGCCCATTTAATCAATGGAATTTATGGGAGTTTACTTACTAAAAACCCACATATACAATGGGCCTACTTTAGTTGTGACTTACTACTGGATTTTGGCTACTGTTCCTCTTTAGTTTGGTTTTTCAAATTACATACCGTAGTTGCTCATTTTTACCATACAAAATTTCAGTTTATCAAGTATGTTTGCAGCATGACATGTTCACTTGAGAGAGAATTTGCATGAAATAGCCAATGTTCTGCTAGTTTTTAAACTGATGAACTTAATTTCTCCACTTGTTGCAAGGATGGTTTCTTCCTCAATACCAGAGTGGGCAAAGTTGGGTTGTCCAGATGTTGTTGGACTGCAGCTCCAAGCATTCCTCCTAGACTGCTGAGACTTGAAAAGTGTTGCAATCCACTAATATCTGGAAGGCCACAAATGGTCCACCCATTCTCTACTCTACAGACCATATTTATACATATATTGTGTTGAAATATAACTGTGACATGTCATTGTTCATGGAAAACTTTCTAGAATGGGCTGCATTGGACTTTCTTCTCTAGACTGTGCAATGTGAATAATTTTTAAAATACATGTATGTATGAATTCAATCAATATGCAAGCACCTAACAACTTTGAAAATTTTTCCTTTTCTGAATCATGAATTTTACAAACATTTGATATACTGTTAATGGGCAAACCCTCTTCTCAAACCCAATCCAAGTCTTGAGCTTCAATGTGCATGCATCATTCCCCGCTTTCCCCAGATATGCTGCTCTCAATGATTCAACCTTTGATCTTCACATGCCCCATATGATTATTTGATAGGAATTTCTTAGGTAAGAAGTAGAAACGTATGGATAGTGAGGAGAAACATGCCTACTATTATACCCATGTTCTCACACATTCCGCCTGAACATTTCCAAAGAATATCTCAATTAAGTCCTGATTCACTCAATATTTTTGAAGACTTTTTTGTTTTTCTAACATTATTTGTTTTTCTAACAATAATTTCTAATAATTTTTGTTACTTTTGGCAGGTTTATGAGCTATTCATATAAATATCCTGAAAATGATGGTTCATGTTTTTCCTCAGAAAACAATGTAATAAAAGAATGAGTCAATTATATAAATGCCTACTGTCTCTCTCCTATTGCTATACTTTGAACCTTTCTGAAGTTGTTTATTAAACACATTCTTATTTCTCTTAAAAGTCCACACTTAAAAGAGGATTTGATTTACAAGCTGGCTAATTAGTTGAGTTGTACATATACAGTCTTTCTCTGAAACAGTAAAAACAATTATTGTGTCAACAGCTATGTATGCCAACCAGCTATTGTTGAATGGACCCATCCCTGTTGTCTGCACCCCAACTCTTTTCTTATACAGTTAATAGCTTCTGAAAATCAATATTAAAAATTTAAACATGTGGGCAAGAGAGGCCAGTCATCTGCAAATCATTGTTCCTTGTGTCAGTTACCAACAATCTGTAAACAAAGAACATAGTCTTAGCAGGAAAAAAAAACAATGGACCAAAACAAAGAGGAACAGAGTAGCGAATGCTTCTTTTTAAAAACAACAAAAAATTTATTGAAAGTTGAACACTGTTTCACCTACTCTTCTATCACATACTGTGTATGTGTAGCTTTTTCAGCTGGGAGTATCAAGCAGTCTCCTCCCTTCAGCTCCTCCCCCGCAGTGGCAATACTGGATTGGTTTTAGACCTCTCTTATGAAGAGAGTGGTGCCAAAGTACAGTACATGGAGTTTACAAAGTATGCCTGCAGCACCCCAGAATTGCTACTGAAATGCCTAGAAATGAAAAGTTATTTTCTGCAAATGTATCCCACAGCTAGTGTAAGCAAAACAAAACAATTTCTGAGGGTACAGTTGGTTCCCTCCTCTGCTTGGAGTATGTGCAACTGGTTCAGCCATTTACTTTCCAAGACTGATGTATTACACCACTGTATTATGGCACAATCCTTTAGGGGGGTATAAATTCCAACACACACCATTTCTTGAGAAAGGTGCAATACTATTCATGCTTATTTGAGAGAAAGCACTGTTAAACCACTGAGCAGAGATGAATGTTAATGGCTTGACAGGAACGTTATAATCAGTTAGCTTTGAGTTGGAAAGTTTTCTTCTCAAGTTCAGTTGTTCTTGTTCTATATAAGGGCAATAAAAGCTCTATATAAGACAGATGTGTCTTTCGTTTAACTTACCAACTAATGGTCCAGCAATGGGGGTGGGGTTTAGATGAGGGGTCAGCCATCTGTCTAATAGGAGTGCTTACATACAAAACTCCCTCATTCATGTCAACTTCTCACCAAGTGTTACTTAGTAGTAGTAGTAGCAGCAACAACTACCACTACCTTTTTTACCACCACCACAAGATCACCTAGATTTGGGTCCCTTTAAGTAATAGTCGTTATCCAAAGAAAGAGATAAGATGACCTCAACAGTCATCACCACTATCTAAAGAACAGCACCTTTCTATTGAGCTCACTAGAAGAATGGCACTGCAGGTGAGCAAGCAAATAGAGGAGGCAACTGAAAGGCTGCCTGTCTGAAGGCTCTTTATGCATAGGGTAATAACTAGGACTATTTTTAAAGTACAGTGGTGCCTCGCTTAACGATTTTAATTAGTTCCAAAAAAAACATCGCTATGTGAAAACATTGTTAAGCGAAACACCATTTCCCATAGAGATGCATTGAAAACCGGATAATCCGTTCCAATTGGAATGGATTACCATCCTTAAGCGAAAATCCCCATAGGAAAAAACGTTAAGCGAAACCCATTGAAATGCATTGAAGCCTATTTCAATGCGGGAAAAAATTCACAAAAAATTCAAAAAGACTCAGAACAAAGCCAAATTAAGTTAATGAAGGTTTTATTAGGTGCACTAACGATTCCAAGCATTGTAAACATTTTTTAAACATTTTAGAATATTTTAAAAATAGCAAAAACGGGGCTGTAAAAAAAACATTAAGCGAAACAAGGGGGCCTAAAGCTGTCATCGTTAAGTGAAGCATGGTCCCGAAATCGTTAAGCGAAAATCGCCCATAGGGAAAATCGTTAAGTGAAGCACAAGATCACTCCGAAAAAGCCATCGTTAAGTGAATTTTTCGTTGTACGAAGCAATCGTTAAGTGAGGCACCACTGTACTGTATTCAAATACATTCTTTCTCCAAGATACAATGTATGTTTAAAGCATCCAAATATAGCCATACAAAAGAAGTACAGTTGTCACATCTTTGGAACCTAGGGAAAATACAATAGAGCTGAACAAACAGAGAGGTCTACCAGGAACCAGCAGTCCCCTCTGCTAAGAGTAGCAAAGAGATGGGAAACAAACAGCATTTTTCCTTGCTTCCCTGCATGCTTCATCTCTGAGTCAAAGGGCAATGATAATATGATGAAGCAGGCTCAGCCATCACATCAGAGGTTCAAGTAGTTATGTCCCTCCTTGCTGTCCTGTGGTGCTGGCCTAGCCTGCCAACTTATTTATTTATTTATTTTTATTCAATTTATATCCCGCCTATCTAGTCGATAGACCACTCTAGGCGGCTTACAGGAAGGGATGCAACAATAAAAACAACAGAATTACATAAAA